GAATTACTTTTCTTGTTTGAAAGTTATCGTGTTAACAAATTTTTGCGGACATCGAAAAAATGCTAGATTCGTGTTTCCTGGCCCCAAAAACACCCAGAAAACACATTTTTGATGGGTGTTAATTTTTTGACCGATTCCAATACTTTACAATACACACTAGGTGTGTGCGGAAAAGTAAAAGGTCTTCACATTTTCCGCGAAAATCCTTAGCAAATCGAAAGAATATTTTTCTCAAAAATGTGAAATTTTTAAGGGGGTAATTCCCACATATGTTCTCCAGGGTAATCCAACCCCTCGGACACCTGCTCAGAAGCTATGATTTTGAGTCATTATAATTCTTGGTGATTTCTTTAGTGCATAAATCGCTAATTTTTTTATATAACATAAAAACAATGTTTTTCATTTTTCCAAAATCATTAAAACTTTAATTCTTGATCTCTTGTGAATATATTCTCAATTAAAATCTAATCAGGAGTGTATTAATGCTAAAATTAATAAATGTTCTATTATGCTGTGTGATTTTCATGAAAATTATATATGCTATCAGTTGAAGTAGATTCGAAAACTATTATTACGCTTTTATTCAAGTGTATACGATGCTTTCGATAATTTTATTATCGTTTTGGGTGATGATGACTATGTTGTTTTCAGGCGTTGGTTTTCTGTGGAAATCGATTCAGTTTTAGTCTAAAACATAATATAGTTTTTAAAGCATATGCGATAAAACTTACTTAGGTTGTAAATGCTCAAGTTTGGGAATATTAGCAGCGGGTAAAACTTCTCCGGATGCTTCCAAGGCTGCTAATTCAACTGGATGTGCTTTTTTCTTATGACTACGACAATTGCTTCCGTTTGCAAAAGTTTTCTCGCAAAATGGACACACATATGGCCTCAGACCAGTATGTAAAATTAGATGATTCTGAAAAGGAATTCAAATGTCAAATTGGTTGTTTTTATTTTTTCAAATGAAAATCTTACCTTCAGTGCTTTTGATCGTTTGTATTCATTGCCACAATATTGGCATTTGTATTTCTTCTGATCCGAATGCACAACCATATGCATTTTTAGCGTTCGTTTTGTATTCAGTTGAAGACCACAGTGTGGACAGATGTAAGCAGTATGTTTGTGAATGTCTTCATGTGTTCGTAGTCTGGCCATATTTTTGAATTTTTTTGGACAATGCTGACATTGGAATGGATAGTCATCTGAATGCGTGATTTGATGTTCTTTCAATGCACCTTTTGCAACGAATGATTTCCCACATTCCTCACAAATAAACGGCCTGTCACCGGTATGAATTGCCCGAATATGTGCTTGTACGTTCACTAGTTTGCTGAAACGTTTGTCACAGAATTGACATGGATGCACCAATTTCAGTTCATCGGGTAAATGAACGCTTTCGTGTCGTTGCAATTTTGTCAGTGATGGAAAACGTTTTGGGCACTTTGGACATGAGAATGGATTTTCTGACCTCGGATGATTCTCACGCATATGACCGTCGAACGCACGCTTACCCTCAAAATCAATGTTGCAAAGTGGACAACTGGAAATGTGGAAAAAATTTGATATATTGTCTTCGGAGAAAACTTGTCAAAAAGAAAAAAAAAAAACAAATTGTCAAACCTGTACGTTTTATTATCAGGTTCTACAATTTTTTGTCGTCGTTTTCGTGGTGTGTTTTTTACTTCGTCTATGTCAAAATCTTCTTCATTTCCATCTCCAGCTAAATCGTCCAATTCATCATCGTCCAACTGTCTGTTTTCCATATCGGCGGTTATGGCAAAGGATGGATCATTCTCAAAATCATCATTATCGTAGTCAAACGCATCAATTTCCATTTCTTCTTCATCATCTTCTTCTTTGATTTCATCTAAAAAACATTTTGCATAAAATCGAAAATTTACATTCAAAGAAATCTCTTAATATTTGTACCAAGGACTCTTTTTCTGAGGAGGAAACTGAGTAGGAGAGCACTGAGGAGGAAAAGTATTTTTTTTTGTTATAGAAATTAAAAAACCGTTTCCTCCTTAATTTGGATCTTTCTCAGTCTTCCTCAACATTCCTACTCAGAGAAACAGTCTCTGTCTTGAACCAGTTTATGTACCTTCAATAACTTTACGACTGGTTTTTTTCGTTCTTTTTCTTGGTTTGGTTCTTGATTCTCTTTTAATTCGTTTCGATATTTTTTGATGTTCTTTCTTTACATTCACAATAGGAGATACTGAGCCTGTTTCCAAATCGTCAGTGTCTGTACTTTTGTTGTTCGTTTTATAATCAACAATGTTGATTGGAATTTTCTGAAAACAAAAAAAAAACATTTTTTTAATGAAAAAAGATCAAAGTTATTGAAGAAAGTTCGTTTCTTTTTACTTCATCTGTATCAAGTTCAGCTTCTGGTCCAATGAATTCATGTCTGAGTGTTTGCAAGTAATTTGAATCAATTTCAAGATTGGTGGAGGAAATTAGATTACTGAAAAGCAAATGCACTTTTCTGCATCGTTCTGTGAATTCTTCGAGTTTCGATATAAATTGGTGGCATTCATCACATACATTTGACATACAATCCGATTCAGTCAACTATATAAAGAAATAAAAAAAAATTGCGGTGAAGTGAAGATCGTTGACATTTCGGAAGATATTCTACAACTTACCGTAATGGAAAAGTGTTTTTGAATTAAACATATAAAATTTGGTATTCTTTCAAACTTGACTATATCGTTTTTGACTTCAATTTTTCCACACAAACGACACCACTTTTGCCAATCACACGGCATTTCGGCGCCTCCAATGATTAAAATTATACCAAAACAATTTTTGACTAACACTAATTTAGAGATAAAATCAATTCGCTTATTTTTTTATTGTGATAGAATAAAAATAACAAAACAAAATCTATCCTACATTGTTCGCACCACAAAAATATATAAATATTAGCGATTGGCGTGAAGTTGGCCTCATCATTTTGACATGTACAGATGTCATTCGAGTGTGGTGGATAAGGTATCGTTTATATACTTGCTGTGAGGTGAGCGCACACTTTGAAAAATAGTAAATAAAAACAGCGAAGAGTTTTATCTTTTTCAAATTCCTGTATTCATGTTTTATTTTTGATTTTGTTTATAAATATTTTTCCTTAAACTCTTCAATTTGTGACATTACGAATTCGGTTAATAAATTCACTTTTTCAACGCTTTCGTTGTGCGATAAATCTCTGATGCTTCGCCGATTAGTCAAATGATTCGGTAAATCAACCTAAATTCAATAAAAATAGATTTTGTTTTCACGATTTGTTAACATTTTTTTATTTATTCAATAAAATTAGAACCTACCTTATGACGTCCAATACTTTGCAAAATGAGCCAAGTGACGTAGAAAGTGAACCAAACGGTGAAGTACAATGGAATGTACCACAAAGAGCGTGACAAATAGAAATACGAATATTTCTTCACTCGAGGCTGTTCTTCGGGTTCTTCAGGCTCTGGTGGCGGTGGTGGTTGCGTTGTTGGTGGTGGAGGTGGTGGTGGCGGTGGCAACACATCATGATGATGGAAATCATGATGGTCATCGAAGTAATCATGATGATGTGGATCATCAATTATGACTTCTAAATAAAATCAAAATTATCTATTTAGACATTGTTACTCTACATAAAAATAATAGGAAGAGGAAACTGTCCCTATTTTACTTATGAACTGTGAATCATCTGGATATATTTTAATGAGTCATAAATGCTGATAAATGAAAAACGATGATATTTTACCTGGAAATGCTTCAAATCCGTGCAAGTGTTTCAGAGAATCGTCATATGGTGAATACGGTTCATGGTCGTGATAATCTTGTGGTGGATGGTCGTGTATGTGCTCATGCCCGTGGTCATGATCATGTGGATGGTGATCCAAAAATGGAAATGATGGATAACTGGGTTTTTTATTTGGTACAAAATCAGCCGGAGGTTTGTCAATTAATTTTGTATCATCCGATGGTCCATCTGAATTACTGCTGTTCACATCATCTTTGTTCGGCATTTCATTCATATCGCTCATATCATTCGGTGTGGTCATGCTGTCTACAGAACCGGAATTATCGACTTGAGTGTGTAACATTGAAACTGGTTTTGCTGAAATCGGTCCTGGAAAAATCGGATAACTCGCTGGACCTGCCGGCGGTGGTAGATAGCTTGAGACCGATATCGGTTTTTTAGCTGATGGAGGCGGATAAAATGCACCCGAATTCGGTGGAAAGGCATACGTTTGTTCTAATGACGGTGGCTTGTAATTACTAAGTGATGCATCTACTTGAGATGTGGAGCCTTGAGGACCTTCACGATCAGCTGTGAAATTGAAAGAGAAAAGCAATTGCCTTGATAAGTAAACAAAAATGGTGACATTTTATTTGACAAGTTTATTTTTAACTTCAATTCTCAATTGATGTGATTTTTTCATGTGTTTTTTTATAAGATGCCCACTTACATTCTTTAATATTTGATGAAAATTTCACTCGATTTCGGTTGTTTTTCTCGAGAAAATGGTCGGTGGTTTCGTGTGGTACAAATCGGTCTTGTGCAACCTCTGAAATGAATAAAATATATTAAGCCTCAAGAAATAGCACGCACGCACACACAATGAACGGATTAAATTGTTTTCAATGGCATTGTCATACGTTGAACTGGTGATGAAGCATAAATAATCCGTGGTTCATGGTTTGAACGATGATTTGATGGTTTATTGTAAGAAGAATAGGCAACGTTTTTTAGTGGAAACGGGAATGGGCGATTATCGTCAATCGAACGGCCTGTTGATTTATCCGTTTCGGTGTCATTGAATCTGTGATGAATAAAAACACAAAATTTCCAATTGAATAGCAAACAAAAAAACAATAGCAATGTGCTTGTGCATGTGCACACAACAAAAACGCATTTTGATGTTATAGAATGAGGGAGAGTTATGTGGGATAAAAGATGAGAAATTATTTACGTTTTTGGTAACCATAAATCACTATTAATCACACCCTCGCGTGCTCGGTGTATTTGTGGCTGTTGATCAGTGTTATTTTGTGGTTGAACATTAGGTTGGCCATTTTTTGCAACTTTACTGTATGAACTTAATTCAATGGTGTTACAATGAAAAGTTTTTAATTGAATCAAAATAATGGTTACGAAAATATGCCACTTCATCATCATTTTTATATGTTTCTCTCTCTTTCTCCCCGCGTATACTTTATGCAACAGCAACTTTTCAAGATTCGGCAAAAAGTTCATAAACTTTTCCTGCTTCTTTAACTATTTCACTGCTATTATTCACTTCGTTACCAAATACAAAATCGAGCAAAAAAAAAAAACGACTGACAAGAAAAAGAACACTCTCTTCAGATTTTCTGATAAGGAAAATTAAGTGACTTGAAAAGAATGAAAAAAATAATATTCGAGAGCGTAAAAAAGACGAATAATCGTTCAACTAATAAAACACTTTCAATCGTTTCGAAACTTAAATGAATTATGACGAGCACATTGTTCGGTTTTGAGACTTTTTGTACGATGCTTGCCACTTCAAAATGAACAATGATTCGATGATGTGATGCTATCTCGACGAAATGATGCTCTCTGATTATTCCAATTGATAATTCGAAATTCGTTGTATTGTTTGTCCGACTATTCCCACCTGAATAATTTGGTCAGTTCGTGCGTTTTGCGACACATAAATTCTACACGTTTAATAGAACAAACACGTATATTAACACATTGGCTTTGCTTCGTTCTCGTAAAATCTTCTAAACAAACACAACCACAACCAACGGAATCTATATCGGTCAGTATACGGTTAAAATGTCTAATCGGAGACAACAATTGATTAGCAAGTCGTTTCGGTTTCGGATGTACACACACTTGCTGCATAATCATCACGAAATGAGATGAAGAATGTGTGTGTATTTCGCCTTTTGAAGCGCAATATAGTTAACAACAATGTTAGTTTCTGGGCAACTATTGAATAAACATTCAGCGGAAAAGTGTTTCATCCAATTAACATTGGTCATGTTGCCGCAGGCTCAGGCATCCGATGCAAAACGTAAATTTTTGTAAAAGAGTATTTAATCATTTATCGTCTTTGATGATTTCAGATTTGCGAAAATCGAATCGGATTAAACCACAATGACAAAGTTGCCAGTTGTCCATCACACAACACATTTCATTTAATTTACTCTACATCTTCATCTCTTTCATTCTCTCTCTCTCTCTCCCTCTCGCTGTTTGTGTATCTGAATCAAGTACGCCATTAATTGAAAATGGTTTACTGTAGTTTTGTTGTGACAGAGCTGTACTTTTTTGTATTCACTCTTGATACTCGTACAGCGTTGAACATAGCGCTGGCTTTGAAAATTTTCAATCCGATTCAAATCGATCCATTAGCAAAATCGCATACACTATTCTTTCCACATAATTTATTCACCATGGAAAATGAGCTGTACACGATACGAGCGATAGCCCAAACACACAGAATAAGTCGAGCCGATGTAGAGATTCGAAGAAGTGGCACCGGTGTGTGTATGTGTTTAATTATCAACATTTCCATTTGCGGGCGCGCGACGCCAATCAGATCAACATACCGTGATAGAAAGAGAAGGAGAGAGACCTATAGAAATTGAAGAATAATTTAGCAAAAAATTTCATTAGCGATTAGAAGTGGAGCAACAGCATTCATTCATTGAAATTTTTGATTTTGTCTAATCGCGCGTATTTCTTCAGAGCTAACGTGTGTTTGCACTCGAAATTATTAGCTTCAGATTCTCGCGGATAACCGTTTTGTTCACTCTTTTTTTTATCTGTTAGTTATAATTTGTGCACCAGACATGTGATAAGGCAAAAAACAAACGTGAAAACGAATACGAAATGAATTAATCAGATGACAGATCGTGCATTGTTTTGATTATTGTTGAAATTACCGTTAACTGTCGCGCCGTTTTTTATTTTTGTGGTTTTTATTTGTTAACATGATTGAAAAGTGTTTGCAATGCAAAAATATCGAATAAAAAAAAATCCTACATTATTTAGGGAAAAATATTCATTACTAATTTGTGCGTGTGTCGACGAAAAAAATGTGTAAATTCTAATTTTATCAGAAGAAATTAGTTCAAAATTTGTGTATGTGATGAAATGTAGCAGAAAAGTTTTGTATATATAATTTCTTCGTACGGAATGAATTCGTTAAGGGAAAAGGCGGAATTTTCCCTTTGAAATGCAAAAAAAAATTGTTTACAAAGTTGTTGATAGCATCCAATTAAAGAAGTTTCTAGCTCATAATTAACTCAAAATATTGAGTACCGTTCATGGCCCATGAATCATGAGTAACAGTGCAGATACGACAATCATAAAAAAATAAGAGATACATATGAATGACATTAATTGGACTAATTTAATTTTCAAGTGACCTCCAATGAGATACTCGTGCATTTGAAAAAAATATGTTCTTCTCGTGATCGATTTAGAACTAGAACCTCAAGCGAGTGAAAGTCGGCACAATTTCCTTTTCACATTTGATACTTGAACTCTGAATTTGGGGTCTCTCTATATTCATTTTGATACATTTGGATTTGACATTATTTCAAGAACATCGAAGAACTTTTACAACCATTTGCTCATAATCAATCTGTTTGATGGTCTCTGAACACCGTTCGATTTGTGAACACAATCTTTTTTCCGGAAATAGCTGAATGTCCCTCATGGAAACAGAATGACAAATTCACATTTACGGATGACATTCTGATAAAAAGTTACCATTAAAACTAAAGCCGATGATGAATCAATCAATAAATTATGCCTTTCAGGCAAAACTTTTCATTATTTGAAAGCTTTGTGTCACATTATGTGATTCACAAATTTCACATCCACATGTACTGAATGAGAGGACATTTTTGTAGGGGCAGATGTGAGAATAAATGCGTTTAGTTTTTTGTATTCTGTTTGAATGGAATCCGATTTGGTAATCTTTGTCAATCAATTTATGCGACTCAGCAGGCAGTATTAGTTGTGTAATACAACTTGTATTGTCGTATAGAATTGTCAATGTTGTCGAAGAATATTCCTATTATTTTCCAATACCATATTGTAATTTTTATACATGGTCTATGCAATTTTTGTTGTACATAGACAAATTTTACGAAATAAAAGAAGATGACAAAGTTTGAAAGAGAAAAATCGGTTGCGTTGACTACCATTGCCATCCATTGATGTGAGCTCATGTTTATTTTTCCCAGGGGTGTAATAAGCAACGACAATGATGAAACTATAGTCAACAGCGATGTATCGATGGCCAAAATTTCCATTTCAATCAAAACCAGCATTTCCAATGTCAATCATTTGCATGTAAAATGAACGTTTCAATTTCAATGCGGGAAATATATTCGACGGTGAAAAACTCAAGTTTTGAATCTCTTTGTAATATTCTCTCTCTCTCTCTCTCTCTCTCTCTCTCTCTCTCTCTCCATTTTCATTCCATGTTCAGTGTAGAGAAATGTTCAAACAGAACTATTATCTATTGGTCTCAATTTCATTTGGGTATGGTCATCGTTTATTCACAGCAGCAATTTAATATCGTTATCAAGATTTCGGACCAAATGAACGAAAATATCATAACGGGAATAATCATAACATTGTTCAGCTACATATCCTCGAGAGATTTAAAATTGAGCATAAATAATCTGCATATAGTTTTGCTGGAATCCTCTGTTCGTAATTTGGATCAAATCATCGTATCTGTGACGAAAGTGTTCTCGATGTTTGAAAAACTTTTAAATCAAATTCTTGTTAAAATATTTGAATACGAAAGGAAGAGAGGAGGATGGAGGTAGTGAGAAAGAGAGAGAACGAGCATGGCTGTGTGAAAAGCAAATATTAATTTAACATACCGTTATGCCCGTTCAGTCGACGTAATTTAATCAGGTTAGTGAAGAATTTTGATATAGCCGTATTGTAGGTACTAATTGGTTGTTCATGTTCCCGAAATATTTCGTTGTATATTTGAATTTTATTGACAAAAGCTCAGCATACCTGCTTGCGATATGAAAATAGAGTTAGTGTGTGTGTGGTGTATGTGTTGTCTATCATCGAATTTGCTCGACTTCACAAAATTTACCGTTTGAATGAGTAAAACTGCATGTGTTGGCCGGATTTGAATCGATCTATTTGTTTTTTGGTCGATACATGTGCGAATGAATCAAACTGACCTATTTATTTAGTTTTAATTTAGCATTTGGTCATGTTGTGAATGCATACCAGATATTTTGGTATAAATCCGAAAATCAGTCGATGAGTGAGTGTAGCATGCATTGATTTATGCAAAAGTTTGACATTGCAACTTATGCCATCCAAATATTTGCAATAAAATTGTGTCGTCGACAACATCCTTAAAGAATTGATATGGGAAAAGGCCGTGATGATAAACTGTTTGTCATTTTGATCAATGAACGCTATCAACATGATAGACAAATTAACTGCAGCACATGTGGCGCTTTTAGTTGACCAAATTATGAGCCGTTCAACCATGCCCTGTAATAACACGTAAACATTTGACTTTGGAACGCATCGAAAATCCGGCCCCAAAATGTATATTCACAACAAATGACAACAACTTGATAAATTTCATTGTGGCCAAGGCAACAGCAATAATAACACAGTCCGTGTGTATTTACCGTAGATATTTAGTATGTCATGCACAGAAATCGAGTGAGTTCCGTTTTAAAGTAAACAATCGTACCGCTAAACAGTTTGTGTCACTAAGGACCCATTGGCCATTCGTTGGCATTGACCAAGCATCGGTAAGTGAGCATGTGTGCGTATTTGAATGCTGTAAAGTGGGAGACAATTATTAAATGATATTTTACGTTGTGTATCTCCTCAGTTCGCTTTTTAGCAAGTTCCATCACCGCATAAGTCTGTAATATTCTGTGGCTTCGTATCGGCCAACGATCAAATTAGAGCATTATTTGTAATTTTGACGTTCCAAGTGAATCAAGCAAACTACGTTTTTTCTCTCCATCGAACATCTAACGTAACCATTCGATAACAAACCAAATAAATGGTGTTTTAAATTAAGTTCTTTTTTAAAGCTGTAGTCTCAGTGTGGAAAAACTTTCAACTTCTTAAAAAACATTGTGCGTATTTTTTCATATTACAAGATTTTTCTACCCACGAAAATAAAGAAGAATTGCAACAAACTGTGTGTGTGCGTGTATTGTGTGCTACCAATGCAAAAGATTTATATCTTATTTTATTATTATTTTTTGTTTCGTGCTTCTTTTTGCCAAACTATTTGATTTAATTCCATTTTGCCAAAATGATAAAAGGTTCATTCCTGAGAATAAAAATGAAGAAGAAGAAGAAGAATACGAGCTCGGTTCAAGTTTGGTGTGCAGTGACACAGAACGTTTGTTACATAACAAGGAAAAAGTTTTGAATTTATTGAAGATGCTTTGAACGGCGCGCCGCTTGAAAAGTTCATTCAATGAAAACGAATTGACGCTAAGATTGTCTCTGCTGCAAACATAAGACGAGCATAAAACTTTATCCTTTCTCTCTCTCGCTCTTTCACAGAAACTTTTCCCAAACATCTTCGTCTTATATATTTTTTTCTGTTACTTTTTTACTGTCTTGCTGCAACTCAAAATACATCTTTTGGTGTGTGTGTACGTCTTCTTTTCATTTTCTCTTCCATCATGTCACCAAATTCGAATCGAAAAAAAAAAAAAATCATCTGTCGATGTCTCGTATTCAGTTCAACTGACGCAGCACGAAGTCATGCAATTTGTTTTTCGCCACATACAAACAAAGATCATAGAATTTCTTATTTTTTTCATGTTGCTCTCAACAAAATGATATCATTTGTAAAAGTCAGAAAAATTATTTTCAATTTCAAAGAAAATAAAGTGGCTGAGAAGAGCAAAAAAAACCTATAATGGTAGTGAAAAAATGGGTTCGGAAAATGTGAAAGAGGGTATAATGTAAACGTTCATTAGTCACAAAATCAATAGCATTGCACGCTGATGAGAGCCACCCAATCGAAGCAATAGATAACGAACGAACACTGTTTGTGATAAATGGCATCGATCACCCAGATATAGAGTATGCACACGAGAACAAGCGCATATATACACACACCCACACCTTAAAAACCATAGAGAATAGTTTGAAATTGCCAAAAAAAATTCCCCGATGCGATGAAAGTTGCACAGGGCGCTAAATTAAAGTTTACTGTTTTGTGTTCATTAGGTTTTTCTGTATTGCTACGAAAGACGGTGGGTTGAGCGTGCAAGAGAAGCGATTTATCTGTGTGGCAACTTGAGGTGTTGACATATCGCTAAAACATTTAAATATTATAACGGAACGATAAAGTAGCAGTGAAGTAGACGCAGCAATAACGGCAAAAGCATCAGCAGCAACAACAACACACTTTGGTAAAACTATCGAAGTGCAACCGAACGAAAAGATTGTAACAACAGTGAATTGGAAATGATGTCATTAAATAATAACGTTGGCGCTTCGGCGATATTTTATTTATGTGCAACAAGTACATTGTTGGTGCTATTGGTGACACTTGGTGCAACTACAGTAACAGCAACAGCAACAGCATCAGAACCATCGGTGATTGTAGTAACCGGCGATGTGGTGTCATCGTTGCAGGGAGCATCGAATGCATCACCAAACATGCATAATTCAACCGAGATGCAAGCAAATGCAGCTAACGAAGAGAAAAGCAATAACCTTAACCATTTCGAAAAGAACAATCGCAACGATAGCATAATGGTATTATCACCTTCATTGTCGACACCATCGAGGGATTGGAATAATGGTAACCAACGTTCGAACAATGAACACCAACACCATCACCATCCACAAAAACAACAGCAACAACATTCGGATCAGCATTCATTTGAAATGGAAAATTCGAGAAAATATTTACATTTAGATGAGCATAATTTTGTGGCGACAACGCCAAAGATTCACACCACAAAATTACCGAACAGGTATGCATATATATATATATCGTCCGTACAATTTTACGCACTAACATTATTCGAGATATCTTATTTTTCGAGTGAAACATTGCATTCACTGTGTGCGAGTGAGTGGAAAAGATAAAATTATAATTCGGAATTGTATGTATTTGAATGTGTATTGGGGGGAATTTTGTACGGCAAACGTGGGTGAGCGGGGCTAGAGCTAGACGGAATATGAAGAGTGAAAAAGAGTGAAAGAGATTTGGTTGAATGTTTCTAGCCCTGTGAATGGCCACCGGATCAAACCGAAGCAAACGACCGAATACAAGAATAATAAAAAAGAATAACGAGGGAATTGACTTGCATAATAGACTTATGCATGGACAATACGAAATGATGTGGCCAACGACCGAAAATTCAGGCATGCCACATCGAGATCGAGACGGAGACGATGAATGCGAAAAAATGCTGATCATTTTAGATATGCAACAGCAGTACGGTACCAAAGGAGAGAAGAAAAAATCGTATTATCCAAATTATTTAATTTAAATGCTTTGTATCATTTTACTTTCTTTAATTTATTTTCGCTTGACGCTTTCCATTATTATCTTCATCCGAGTTTTTTTTTCTGTTTTGTTATTTCATTCTATCTGTTCTTATCGCATTGTATATAAACATTCATCTACCCCCCCCCCCCCTTTCGAAGAAAAAAATATGAACATACACAAGAACTCCCAACCAATTTTCTTGGAAAGTGTGCGACTTTTTACATACAACTCGTAAACTCATCACAAATGTTCCACTCGAAGCGAAAAACAATCGTTTTGCTTGAGCGAGACCGAATTCTTGAGTATATACTTTTTTCTTCTGTTTTACACAATTTTTTAAGACGTCAATGTGTTTTTTTAATGCCGAATAAAAAAAATCAAAAACAGACAGAGGGGAGAAAGAGAAGAAGAGAGGGGAAAAAATCGTCCCAGAATAATCCTCTTTGATGACATAAACTTAGTAATCGGTGAAAGCTGCTACGAAATTCCTTCACACAGCCAAATGATGCTTCTTTCCACATTATTCGAAACGTCGTGTTTTTCTCTGTCTTTCTCTCTCTCTCTCTCTACTTTTCTTTTACTTCATTCATTGTATGAGTGTTCATTTTTTTTACAAGAGATTATTCTTTATTTAATTTTTATGTGGTGTCTGTATTGCATTCACAATTTAAAATGAAAATATTCCGAAATGTCTTTGGTCGTTCGTCCTTTGTGTTTTATGTTTCACTTTATTTGCTTCGCTCGACAGTATCTTATTGCCAATGCAAAACGATACACCGAGGATAAATGTCAACGTTTGATGCGTTTTTTGATTCCCCAAAAAAATTCATTGCGATACATTTTGTTTTTCATTTTGTGTTTCATTCAGCCAACAATATTTCACATCTTCACACACACACACACAATCAGTTCAATGCTTTACCGATGATGTCGTTAAATCTTCATCTTTCAACGCAAAAGGAAAAGAAAAAAATCAGTTTATCATTGCATTCCATTAAGATATGCTACGATTTTTCGTTGTCGTCATGTCGTTTCATTGGAAGTGATAGCAACAGTGTGTGTATTTTACCATTTTGAACTAAGGAAAGAGAGCGAATGAGACAGACCAAGAAAGATATGCTTTTTTTTATTGTGTATGTGTGCAAATTCAAGGTTGAGCAAAGGTTACAGAAAAGGTTCGATAAAGACACTGTCAAACAATAAAAGCAAAATCAAATGTCATTTCAATCAATGTATTACATTCATATGGGCAATTCTGAACCACATCTCATATTACATGGCAATCGCAGTTGATTCAACTGCAAAGAAAAACCCCATTAAGCTGAATTGACTGAAGATGCAAAAATTAAAATGTGCCATTTCAATTCTAAGAAATGTCTTAGTTTAAATGCCATAAAAAATAATGGGGTTCACATTTCATGATACTTAAAGTATCACAATTTTTCTCTACGAATTTAATTTTTCCCTTGTAGTTTCAATTTTTTTTTTTTTGCATTTTAATACACATTTTTCTCCATTCTGTCATTGCTGGTTTCGTTAATGAAAAATAATCTACGATAATATAAAAAAATGCATGAAAGTGCATAAATTCATACTTTAAAAAAATCAGCCTTTGTCTTTGGAAAATGTGACAGTACATTTTCTCTTTGTACAAGAATTCGTTTGGCATCGTTACGTTGCATAAAAACGATATACATTGAGACTGTTCAAGTATTTTTTAGTACCCCGAAAAAAATCTGGCCGAAAGCGATGCCCGTGAATTTGCCGAGGAGTGAATTATGCAAAAAAAAGTCTGGTTCATTAGCCGTTACAGCGTGAAACTGAATGAATGAAAAGTGCTCTTAAAAATGCAATACTCTCACTATAAATAACTATGGCAATTTTGTTTTATGCGAAATAATTTTTCGCATCGATTTGAAGTGGTGTACGGTCGAGTTGTGCATATTTTCCGTATATTTGTGCAATTTTTTTTTTGTTCTTCAATTTATTGGAAATCAACAAGCATGAATCCTTCGCTTGCAAACTTTGTTTATTGATATAATCGAACAAAGACTTATGTTTTATCGTCTCTAAATGCTTTTTATATTGTAAAATCGTGTTGTGCATATATTTTTCGGAATGAGAAATGTGTGTGTATTTTTCATGGTGAGCGATTGGCCAGCGGCGATTTATGTCGAATTGGAGCAAGAAAGAGTGGGCAAGAGAAAGAGGGGGAATAAAAGGGACCATTATCGCCATTCTTCCCTTTTTGGAACATAAATGATTTGAATTTGACTTATGGTCTACGGTAAAGTTCGGTTGTAAAGCAATGCAAACGGAAAAAGTTTTCATCGTTGTTGTTTTTTTGTTTCACTCTACCCACTTCTCCCGAATCCATTCTCATATCCGAAGCGCATTTGAATGAAGTAAATGCCGGAGACGGTAACATTTAACTAGTAGTTTAAGTACCCAATATATGCGGAACGTGTTGATTTTCATTTGCACGTTTGCACCAAATTCGACTCTCGTCCATATGCCCTTCGTCTTTGAAGACATCGAGCGGATTGTGTACATATTGTTAAAGAACTTCTGCTCATTCGTTTTCCCGTTCTCTCTTTCTTGGTCTCCCACTCTCTGCAAAAACTAGTATACATTCGGTATTCTATTTGCACTGTATAACAAACTGCACAAAACTCAATCTATGGATTTGGAAGTACTTAGCAACGTTAGAAGCATTCGAAGCATCATCACGAGAGAGAGAGAGAGAGAGAGAGAGAGAGAGAGAAATTTAAATTCACATGCAGCACATTTATCGCATGCAAATCCCAAACTAAATCATATATTGGTTTTTCGTTCCGAGCGCATTCCGCCATAAAATTTTCGAATTTTCCTTAATCGATATAAATAATAGTTTTTCACACATATAAAGAGTACATTTTTGCTCTCATTTCAATGATTCTTTTCGTTTTATACGGATTGCGCTTTAAGTCGCTTGAAAAATAAATCCCGAACAAGAACGAGAAAAAAAGGAGAGCTGCTGTTAGAAATGTCAACGTTGTATTCAATAAACTTTTGCCCAAAGCAATGTATATTGTCTATTCACAGCTAAAACTGGGTGTGTTTTGGCAATGTTTGCTTCATCATCATTTCTGAATCAAATAATAATATTTACTTTAAGCTTGAGAGTTCGCTGTTTAGCACTCAACTAAACATAATGCTGACAACTTGAACTACACAAAAGAGATGCAACAAACGACGATTGCTTCTGCTGTTATTGCCGTCGCCACCACCGCCAACGACATTCCGGGTCTCAGGATGTGGGTGTCATTAAAATGGAATGCATCCGATCTCCCAACGATTATAAAAACTCTACCCGTTCACCAAATGTTAAATTCCGAAAATGTTTGGTTGTATATTTTCGTTTTTTTTCTCTCTTTTGTGAGTGAGGTAGTTCGTAGTTCATTCGTTTGCTTGTGCAAACAAATAGCTTAAATATATTTCGTATGGTTATGCGATGATATTCATTTCCGTTGTCATTGCTGTGTGTACGATGGTGTTTTGTGTGTTCTATAATGGTTGTTGAACATCGTGTGTGTTTCAATTTGTATATGCATTCTCGCATTCGCTATTCTTCGTCATTTTTCCAGTGTCATGAATGAACTCATTATGTTATTGACGCTTGATGTGCGTGTATGTGTGTATGAGTTACATTTTCTGAATAAATTTGTCAAATGAAACACATGTCACATAATGAAGCAAGTCACATACGCCGTGCAATCATACAGACTAAATATGTACGGGAATCAATGAGACGAAGAGAGAATGATAACGCGCTTTCGGATATTTATAATACCTTTTTGATTTCAACTGGGAAACACTTTCGCATCATTTGAAGATAAAAACGAGCGAGTGTGTGCAAGCGAGTGAGCAAGAGCGAGCATGTATCCCGTGAATGAAATGCATTGATGTAAGTGTATATGTGTTGTTTATGCCACAAACATGCCATTTTCACATCGAGAGTGTATTTTCCATTTCAACGAAATGTTATTGTCGAAAAGTTCAATTTGCTCGAAATGGTTTTTCGCCATTCACGTTTTTCTGCCACTTGATAGTTGATGCATGAGAAAACATCTATTAAGCAAAGTGTTAGACGTGCATTCGATTTGGTTCTTGATTTTCACACTGTCTGTCACTGGTGTATTTTTGGTTTTATCGTCATAAGCGCGAATGTGTCGGTTGTCATGCTAGAGAGAGAGAGAGAGAGATGAGTTGGAAAAACACGATACGTCTGACGAAATGGTTGTGTTCAACAAGCACTTGCGACAAAATCGAACCAATTTGTTTAAATATGAATTTCTATTTCTGTCAAAAGTCGTTCGCATTGCAACCATGCTCAATGCATCGTGGTACCCCTTTTTTGTTGCATTTGAAATTGAAAAGTTTAAAAGTTTTACAGCTACGGATTAACACTTTCAGCAATGTAACAGTCATAACAGTGCACCAAAAGAATGTGGTGTACAACCACATCGAAAAACATATGTCAACTGTGCAAGTGTTTATTTTAGTGGATGATTTCTATTTAACGGATCAGCAATATTCTCTCTGTGTATTCTATTCACTTGTAAATTGAAATACAGACAAATGACTGCACGAACGGTACCCAGCAATTTTTGCAATGGCTTTCAATGTTAAGACGGGAAAATGTTATCGTTAGAATGACAAACGAGTGGAAAACACATTAACGGTTGCAGGCAAATAAAGACGGCGCAACAGAAAGTTACACCATTGGTAATCCTATTGCCAAACATACAACCAATCCAGTAAACACAAATTTCAGAGGCAATGTTAAACAGGCGCCTTAAACACCCCCACCTCCCCACACATGCCACACACTTTATCTGTCTCGAATGGGAATATTTGAAATGAATGCTGTTTACATTTTCCGTATTTGATTGTGCAATGTGAAAATTTTAAATGAAATTTCACATTTAATTGCGGTTCGAAATGTGAACATTCTTTTTGAAATTGCCATCGTCTTTGGCATCCACTTTATCTCAGCAAATGTGACATTGTCAACCTCAACATGGCTTGAAACGACTTAAGCACAAAACACACAAGCACACGTTTGCACATATGAATGATCATAATGGTGATAATGCCAATTCGAGCCCGGAAGTAATATATTTAATACGATGTTGATTTAGATGGGGTGTAATCATATAAATTCTGAACTCTTATTCGTGTCTCGCTTTCATTCAAAGACTCTTCTATCTGGTGCGCTCTTTTTCGTTTTCTCTTTCGCTCGGGCGAATGCACAAAGTGAAAATTATTATTTACACTTTATACACACATGAGCAACACACGCGCGCAATAATATATATATATTCGTTACATAAATAATAATTATTTAGAATAATATTTGACTGTATTTAACCATAAATCTAAACCAAAAGCTTTGGATAAAAAACACACACGCATTCGGTGTGGATTTACATATTTAAATGGGTTTTTGTGTGAAAGGTTTGCCTAATTGGTTTGACAGCAATTATAGGCGTACACGCCATACATCTTTATTTCCTCGTTTTTTCCATGTTGGTATAGTTATGTATCGAGAATATGTTTCCCGAATGACTTATGCAACACTTTTTTACGTTCGCTATTCCCTTATTTGAATTTAGATGTTAAAATGATAAGCATACGTTCCTATACTGACCGAAACTTTAAGCTAATTACACAAAATATCCCAGGTCAAGTGATAATTAGTATTTATTATGTCGAATAATCCGAGAAAAAAAGAATGTTTTTGATGAATTATTAAAACTTTGGACTGACATTGAATTCCAAAACATACAATTGATTTTGTGCTCTGTGTCAATTATAAAAAAAATTACCATAATGAAACTTTATTATATTTGCCATAGAGACTCTCTAGACATTTCGTGTGTGCGATGCGATAATCATCTTGTAACATAAATACCGTCTCGTCAGCGACCCTTCAAAATATCATTTACTAAATACGTCCAATCGAACTGAAATACTCTTGAAATGTCAATAGGTCGCCGTTATTCATCGATTTATATCACAAATACAGTGTATTAGTTCAAAACTCTTTCGTAGAATATGATTCAAACAATGGCCAAACAAACAAATCCCCAAATAATGATGCGCTCTCTGCTCTATGCCGATTAGATGCTCATGTCGGCATTTTCTGGATCACATTTCTCAAACGAGACGGTGTGTATATGTGAGGATGAAATTGAATTTGAACGGCATCGCGTTTGAGTAGATTTCAAAACCAAATCAAACTCAAAAAAACATAAAATATGCCGGTATACACACACATTATGCATTCAAAGTGAAGAGCTCGGCGTCAATACGATTCCATCGTATATCGGTTGTGTTTATACAAAGTGGTTGTACACACGGAGGCCGGTTGACGAAGCGTCAAAAACAAATATAGGTAGAAATCTCGCATTTGCACTCGTTCCATACCAGTCCTGTTCGCATTGTGTGTGTTCGCCTTGCTGAATGATATCGAGATCCCTTTTGTTGGTAAACGATTTTGCAATTTGTTAACACAAATGCTTCTCTGAAAAATGCCTTTTCTCTCACTGTGTGTGTGTGTGTCTCTCTCGCTGTTTGTGTGTCTCGTGCTCGCATCAGACATCATTAAATTATGTTTGTTCTGGTGCAGCGACCTGAACAAACTCAGCGACAGTTAATCAGCTAGTTTATCATTCCGAATGATTCATTTGGGTGTATACATGCTTATTCTTGTTCTCGCTCTTTTGCACGGGCGCATTTCAAACGTTTATTGTTATCATCACATTGTTTCGCTACTTTTCGGCTGACACATTTCCGAATCGTTTTCACTTTACAATCACAAAACTGGCGCTTGCAAACATACCCAACGAAAGCCAGCGATAGAGAATGAAAAAGTGCAAAAGAATCAGGATCTCAGAAAATTCACTCACACGCACACATTTTGCCGCACAACGAAAGATGAATCAAAAACGAACATGTACAAATAAATAGCACGGAGAAACAAACAAATCATCCCAAATTGGATAAAGAAACGTGCAATGCGTTGAAAAGCACACTCTACTAGATTTCAGAGTTTTTCACTAAAACAATTTTTCCACCGAAAAACATTTTTAAGCGCGATTTTCCCTTTCGCTCGCCCTCTCTCTCAAGCAGACTTTGAGCCAAACAGATATCTGGAAAAATAATACACACGCTTCACGATTTGTGTAATGAATTTATAGTTACAATAAACTTCGCATAAGCTTTAAATGACCGGAATCATAATAATAAATTGCTAACGAATGAAATCGTTTGCACGATGTTTACCAATGACCATAAAGCCGTCCACAAAACAATATTCTTTGTGTATGACAATTTCGATGATTTCTGATTGAAAATACCGTTTTTATCTTCATATATTTCGCTAAGAAATAAATAATCGATGACCGAATGAGTGAATAAAATGGTTCAGAAAAGCCTATAAATGCCAATTGAAAATTGTACACAAACCAAATGGTGAATTGCTTCAGATTTTGTGCCCATTCTTATTGTTCTCTTGGTACCTTTTTTTATTGCCCGGCACATTTTTTTTCTCTCGCTCTGTCGTTCATTCAGAAGATCCAACTCACAAAAAAGGAATTTTGGTAGGCGATGGTCGTTGCCACGATTTATTTTCATATTATTTCGACCTCCTCCACAGTTGAACAATTCAACATTATTATTTGTTTGTGCTGCTGTCGAAATGATTGCTGTACATTGTTATTTCAGTTGAATTGCAAAGAGAAGAGGAGTGTGCGAATCAGAGAGAGAAAAAATACATTCCCGACTAGTAAATTGAACAATAAGAAATGTTCATCTCTGATAATCTCTTTCAATTGAATACTCCCAGTTCGGTAGAACTGTCGACGCGCTGTTGTTAATGTTGGACCATCGAACGTCGTGTGTGTGCGAAAATATTTTTTTTCTCTTTTACTTGTATTTTTCCCATCATTGAACAATTGAACAGTTCGTATATACTATTATATATATATGAGTTGTGTACATCATTGATTTGAGTTATTCGTTTTTATTCCCTCCCTTGCAATCTCGTTATTGTTCCCTCGGCAAGTGTTACGATGGACAAAAAAATAATAATAAATGTTTATATAAAAAAAAATCTCTTTCTTTTTTTTATTTTGTGCACCAAAAACGACATCGACTATTGTAGATACGAACAAGGTTTGGAGGACTATGAAGAAGCTGTGGCTCGTGTAGACAAAATTAAAGAGGAACAACAAAAGCAACAAGCGTATGGCATGAGTGGATTTCAAACAGTGCTGACGCTGATCGAGACGGCTAGCGATGTTTGGAGCAAAGTATCGACAGAATTTGAACAAAAGCAATCAACAATCACCGATAAATCGAATGATAGGCCAACAAATGATGTCGATAGCAATGACAAAAGCGGTAAGTCAAATGTGCGCGTAATACGCTCAATCCGATACAAACTATTTCAACAACACAAAAACGATTGACAAAATAAAAGCGCTTTGATTGCTCCTTTTCAGTTTCGAGATTTATGGCTGCACAATAAAAAAAATTCAGCGCTCTTTTTTAGTATTATTAATTTTTTTTTCTCTCTCTTTTTCTCATCAAATGAATGTGTATTTTTTCCCCAATAAAATGTACCGGTGTTTTTATATTTGTTGTAGATGGTAGTTCGACGGATGTTGCTGAGGCCCGTTATATCAAAGGTGATCCATTAAAGGGCTATTATGATTTTATTATTACGGAAGGATCATATAAATTTTGGGCTGCATTTCAGGTACAATTCAATATTCATGATATTCTATTTTTTTGTTCTTCTACACAAATCAACGATTTGCCCATTCAAATTGTGGCTGCGCCGAAAAAGACGGCAACACAAATATATCAACAAATTTTCTCAATTGCTCATAAACATTTCGTTTTTATTCATTTGGTTTAATGTCGGTGTTTGACGCTTATTTCAGCTTTTTACGGCCGGTTTGATGATTTATTCCACGTTTGCTGCGATTTATTACTCCAAAGTTAATCCAGTTGTTGGCGATTACGATTACACATCATATCTGGGTGGTGCACGTTCAATGGCCGACGATCCTGAACCATTACCATCAACTTCAGCACTGTCGGAGCTCGGAAATAGTTATATATTTCAAACAGCTGCCCATGGTTTCCAATTCGTACTTGATGCCATTGAAAAAATACCGAAAACATAAAATAGCCATCGAATAATGACTCAATTATCATTTGCTCGTCGAAAAAAAAATATCAACAACAATCGATTGGAAATATTAATTGCAATAACGAAATGGATGAAATACACAAGAATAAAAATATGAAACAAAAAAAAATAAAATAAAAGAGAGAAAAATAATGTTAATATTAACTTTTTTTATTCTGAAAATACTTAGCCATTAAAAAATACAAAAATCATTGAAGCATCTGGTGCACATGAACGAAATAAATGAAATTCTTTATTTTATATACATGAAACAAAAAAAGGGAGAGAGAAAGAGATGGAGCGAGAGAAATTGTATGTTTGGTTGGCGTACAAAAGAATAAGAATAAGAACAACAAGAAGAGCACCAAACAATGGTGAAAAACTAGTTGCAAAAACTGTAGCATTAAATGATGAAACTCCAAATTAAAAACTAGTTTGATTGCGTGTCAGAAAACTATAACAAACGAACGTGCACATACACACACATTGCACTTCATAATTTATCATTGTCATGATTTGTGCTGCATTGTGCGAAAATCTACACATTTCAAAAGTGACGGCAACAATTCTTCACTCATGTGATTTTTTTTTTGTTTCTTCGTATGTTCGGTGCCCCAGCGTAATACGGAGAGTATTTTGTTTTATTTCTTGCACATGGAGACAGGAAAAAATCAGCAGTCTGTATTTGATTTTGGTTCTGGAAAGTTTTTTTTTTTTGTTCCGTCGTAGAGAGCATTTCAAATCTTCAAAATGAAAAGTCTGCACATTTCATGATTTGGCTCAATCAGTTCTGGTCGCCGCCATGAATATGTATGTCAGAATTTATTAAATTATGGGTACGAAAATCATATCAATTTCTCTCTGCTCATTTCATAGATGGATTATTTCAAGTTTGAGATTTTGAAGTTTAAAAGTGCATGCCAACGAATGGAAATCCTCAATTTTTCATCGAAAAAGTGCAAGAGCCGTTTCAATGTTTTTGCAACGAAATAGTTCTAAATATGGTAATGTGACGATAAATAATGTTCATCAGACGATTTCTATCCATTTTATGAAATCGACGTTGTTCTTAGCCTCAGTTTTGTTGTTCGCATCAAACTATATAAAACAAAGCATGCAAGTTTCACTTCCGTAATCTTCGGCATGTTATTCAAATTGATGAAATTGTTGTTGTTTCGCTTCGTTGTAGTATTTAATGGAAGCAACCCAGAATGTATGTACTATCGAGAAACTTTTTTTTTAATTATTTGAAAGCTTGTACGCATTAAATCGATTTCTTAACTCGTTCTAGACCCATTTCTTGAACAAATGCTGCTGCCAAGTATTGAATATTTAATGTATAGGAAAAATAAGTAATTACACATTTTCCGGATTTCTTTTCATATCCAAAGCGTACATTTTCGATTAGAAAAGGCGACATTGAGTTTGTTTTGTAAACATCCAGCATATGCTTTGTGTAATATTTATAAGCATTTTCTTCATTTTTTAAAATTAAACTAATAATTATTTCACGATATCGAATGCGCGAATCTGTGCATGACTGGTGTGAAATGAAATTAAATATGCACGGTCGTGTCCAATTGGTTTCGAAGAAATTATTCTTGAAATCAGAAAATTACGTTGTTCCATGAGAAAAAGGGGAAGAAAAAGAAGAAGAAAAAAAACAATTGTATAATTCATTTTCACGTAAAGTATAAAACATAATTGTGCGATGAAAGCAAGAATGGAACCGAATTGCTCTATTGATGCGTGCGTACATCGCTCGGCTAATTCGAACGGGTAATTCTCAAAATTATGTAATAATCGTAACAATTAGATTCGAATGAGCCGTTATGTATTCATCGCATTATCTACTGACAGCATCAGCGGCTGCTGTTGCGATGCCAACAGCGACAGAAGGGCACCAGCAAATTAATGGATGTTAGATGCGATAAAAAAAAACCAACATAAATAATCTTTGCTGGCAAAATTTTCTGCATTCAATTTAACATTGTGTTATTATTCTTGTAACCAATTTGAATTGATGGTGCGAAATTGTTGTGGTGGAAACAAAAATGCCTACAGAATCAAAGAAAATGAATAAAATTACCATGTAACCAATCCGTAGCGCATCATTCATTATTCATTTGTTTCCCTTCGGCCCATTTCTATCGCTGCAAATGGCAATATCAATTCAAGTGATGTCACAGCAAAACACATTCTCTTTTCTCCACAACATTCTCACACTTTGTGCTCCAAAACGAAATCGGCATCTCACCTATAACAATGAAAAATTCTCCGTTGCACACAAAATACCAACAGTTGAAACAGTAAAAACAAAACACCCAATTTGTGCGTGACGTTTAACGTAATTTGAGTGCAAATTATTACGCTGAGGTCATTTGTACAACAATCTCATTTGAAATAATATTCACAGAAAAGTCGTTGGAATCTCACCATTAGCTCTGTGTGTAAAAAAGGTAATTATGATGTCAATTGTACATTTGCACCGAAAATAATTCATCCGGTGAGGTGAAGCATTCTTCATTTAGAAAGCTTAATTGTTGATATGGAGTCGACCGGTGCGTCTCATCACTTAGATTATGTGTTTTGCATCGCAAACAGATTCAATGCATTTAATTATGATTTACAATCTTATTAACCTGTACAAAAGGTTTTTTTTCATTTTTTTTTAACTTTTGTTGATGGTTATGAAGAAGGTTTTGAAAATTTCATTTTCTCAGACTTTGTCATATTCAAAACAATTCCATTGGTTTTTGGTTTCAATTTAATTTCTAATGTTTATGTCTCTGAGCTGGAATGGTTGATGCTATCAATGTCATGTTGTTGTGTGCAGCTGCTGCTGCTGTTGTTCGGGTTCAATCGGCCTCGCTTTGATGCACAAGTACACTTCAAAACAGCAACACATCAATCGGTGTGCATGAAATACGTTATTGAGCGGCAAGAGCATATTCGAGGTTCTTTGATTTCAACAAAATTTAAAGCCACAAAAATGTTTCAGTAGAGCAAATCGCAAACCCGGATAAAATGCAGGTGGAAATTTAGATATTAAACTAAGGCGCCACCACAAACATGTACACTCTTTGTCGTTTGGAAATTAAAGCCAGCCTTTTGTGATGTACCGCATATACATGCACACACACAGTCTTACAGTAAAACATTTGCTGATAACAAAAACTTTGATTTGTTGGAAAACCGAAACCGTAAACCAAAACCCTGTTTAATGGCGATTGAAAGCGCACTAATAAATGCTTTGTAAAGCTAAAGTTTCGACCTCTACAACTAATTTTCTATCAGGCAACATATTTCTCGGTGCTCATACCTCACCGTCGGATACAAACTACCTCAAGAATTGCAAAAGTCATTTTAGATTAAAATAAAAAGAAAAAGAGAAAAAGTATTCCAAAACAAATCTGGCATACAACATGTCAACGTAATGTTCCCTTCAATCGTGTCGATTTATTTCTTTTTTTGCCCTTCTCTATTTCTTTCTCTCTCTCTCTCTCTATCTCTCTCTCTCTCTCTCTCTCTCCTGTCGTTTTTCTGCGTGTGGCCACTGCACGTCGTCGTCGTTGTTTCAACGGGAATCCGTATTCAAATAGGTGAAAAAAGCAAAAGCAATTATAAGTTTCATGGCATTTCCACAACAACATTCCATTTGTGTTTTTGTTTTATTCAGCTCTGGCTATTAGAAATCTAACTACTATACACTGTTAAATAGTTTTTTTTCTTCAATCCCCTTGCTTTTGCCGTATTTTTGCTCGTCCTGATGTGTTTGTGAAACTTTTTCTAATTTAAGCTGAATAGTTCTTTTTTTTCTGTCGCGTATTGCCGCGCAAAAGGGAGATACAAACATTTCGTTTATTTGTGCCGTGTGTTTTTGTCTGCAATTTAATTTTCGTTTAACAGTTTGAGCAGTGAACTGATTGTGCATACTAATTTCCTCCCGTTAGCAGTTTAGTCATTGGATTCCGACGGAATCATTCCGTGCTATTCAGCTACATTCTGCCATTGTTCATTTTATTCGAGGCAGAGAAAACGTGTTTGTTCCGAATCGGATTTCCTGTTTCTATTTTTTTTCTGTATTGTTGCAAAACCACTTTGCTGTTTTGCTTAATGTTAATGTGGCATTCGATGGTTAACTAAAATTATTGGTTTATATATTTTTGTAGCGAAACAAAGTCAGGTGACACAATTTTCAACAACCTTTTCACACAACCAATTGGCGCAATGCATATGCTTTGATTGTTGAACCAATTATTCGACTATGAACTTCGGTTATGATGCGCGAATTGTTCATCTTAAGGGCAACGAAACTCACACATGGATCGATATAGAAATAGAAGTGGTGTGAGATAATGTTCCCAATATTTTCCGTTGATGACAAAATAATGGTCGGGTAAATTTGCGAAAATTGAAAATCTTTCTTGGAATTAAGTAAAATAATATCTTAGCGAAATTAGAAGTGCACCATAAAATGCACGCTGAAAAATTGTGTATTCTTTAATTTGACTTTTATGCAACAGTTCGTTAGATGATATCGAATGAATGCAAATGTTGTTTTCCTTCATTTTACTTGTATCATATTCGGAATATTACAAGAAAACATATAATGTCCCAATGCTTCACACACATAATGGCAGTGCTCTTGGTTTGGCTTTAGCAAAACGATATCACAACTGTTCGGCAAACAAATTGCGAATGTTGTTTTTTTTCTCTGTACTCCATTATGCAGCGGAAAATAGGTTACCTCTCTCTTACCATCATTTTTTTCTCTTTCTTCCTTTTTTTGTTGAAATTTCACCCTTTTTGCGACTTTGTCTCGATTGCCTGGTATGTTGTTGGCAAAGAATAAGAAACCAATGAGAAAAAGCCAACACAAAGGCAGGTAGTAAAAAATGAAAACAAAAATCAAACTGAACATTATGAACTGCATTGTCATACACAAAACGGAAAGCATACTAACAAACTAAACTGTTGAAATAAATGCGCGTTTTCCAAAAATTAAAACAAGAAAAAAGAATTGGAAAAGTATAAAGTATAAACAACAATCGAGTTTTGTGTGTGCTGCACGAGCTTTTGAATCGGCAAAGAAGTGAGAGCAAACGATCGAATTGTACAAAT